TTTATGCTATAATCCAAATCAAAGAAATTCGTGACGCCACTATGAATACTTCTGTCGGAGGCACTTCCCCTATTCCCATCAATGTCCTCACAACTATCATTCCTATAGTCATCTCAGTAGCCGAGATCGCTTATATTGGGCTCGGCTGGCAAATATACAACGAATTCGGGTGGAAGGTTTACAAGTTCCTTGGTGCTGACCGCCAAATCAAGAAGATGTATGCACATTATCAAATTTACGAATGCTTGGTCAAATTCGACGTCTTCTTCTGGGTTGGCTTTTCCGTTCAATTTATCTGGCTAGTGTTGCAAGACACTGATTGGGAATACTATGTCACGTACGCTGCTCTTCCATTATCAGTGGTGCTTCTTGTAGAAGGTCATTTGGCTGCACGACACGAGAACAAGTGGATGATGATGACGTTTATGATGGGTTGTGTCGGCGCAATGATTTATTTCATTTACAAGGTCTGTATGGTTGACCTTTGGATCTGGATGTCCGTTTGACACACTCTTTCATTAGCTCATTAAAGTGCTTACGCTAAGCAACACGGACCAATACAAGCTTGTCTGGAAATCATTAACCGTCTTCTGTACGTCTTCTCTTTAGTTGTTTCTGCTTGTTTTTCATGTAATTACAGCCGTCATTGCCATCGCCCTGCTCGTTGCTACATTTGTGTCATCCATAATAGTGCTACGAAATTTCGGTCGGGGCCTCAAGGAAGCATGTATGTACTCTCGATCGTTCTTATTCAACGAGCGTATATTCATCATAACTTGTAGTAACACGAAAAGCAATGCAAGGCCCTACTCGAGATCATCGTCGTGCAGCTAGCACAAATCTGCATCGCATGAGCATTGATTAAACATTCCTTTGGTCTTACCATGATTTCTTAACGGACAATACCACTTTGTACTGATAGCCCAACAACGAAGAATGAACTGCCCCATATATACCGACACAACATTACCACTGCCTCTTCAAAGCCCCTACATTATTTTTTTAACCAGTATTTCCAGCTATCCATTTTCACATATTGTCTATCACTCTCCTCTCGGTACTACTTGGTAGATCCAAGCTATGTCCCGTACGGTAAACCCTCCTTTCTACATTCTCTTGAATAATTTATGTAATGTTTAGAGGACACGTATCTACATTTGGAATTGAATTTTAGCTCTCGACGTGTCACCACAGCCGGATGCAAAATTAGACTCAGGTCAAGCCCACTCTTTTTTCTTTCATTTCTTTTCTAAATGTCCCAACGGTATTCAGTAGTCTCCTCTGCTATAAATTGACCATTGAAATGTGTTCTTTTCTTCCAGCACACGAGCTGCACCTTCACTTCGTGACCGTTCATCACTTCTCGGCGCGACCCCAGCCTCCTCTGGTCGTTCGTCACCCTTTGGCGGCATCTACCCACCAGAACAACAAGTAAACGGGCACCGCTATGCTGATGATCTAGAAGGCCAAAATGACGAAGCTATCGAAGGCTTAAGTGCTAAAGTAAAGCTACTGAAGGATGTGAGTGAGTTTTCCTCTTCTCTCGGTTGGTTTCGGATTTTCAATGTCTTCTTATTCTTGCATGACCTTTTTTACTTGCTTTGGTTGTTTCGGTTGGGTTGGGTTTGATAGATCACTATCGGCATCGGGAACGAAGTACGAGAGTCGACAATGCAGCTCAGCCAGATGGTATGGTCATTCATGTTCCTTACACCAAATCTGAGTTTTGACCGTGGTTGCTCATTGACTAGAACGATGCCTTCGCGGAGACGGGTGGTATCCTCGCAGGGACATTTCGAAGAATGAACAACATGGCTACGCGGCAAGGCTGTCGCTGGCTATGGTACATTGTCTTTCTCGTCATCGTCTTTTGGTTCTTCATGGTTGTGTGGTGGTTTCGAAGATGACCTTGCAACATCTCCTGTTCATTCTACACGCATCCTCTTTTCATTTTCATTCCCTCTTCATATATATATATATCATACAGTGCGCAAGCAATTTATATATTTTGAAACTCTATCCCACCACTCCTGGACCGGGGTCCAACAAAATCCAAAACATTGGTGTACATCACTAAACGAACCATAAAAACGGTACAGCAAGATATAAAGAGTACCGCCAGCTGGAAGCTGTCCTACTATATTACTAATAATGATCATCGCGAAGTTTCCCATTACCAATCTCCCATATCATCCTTCTCCGAAGATATGGCATATTTTTCTGGGAAAACCTGAAAGACTCCTCACCCCTTGATAGAGTTTCCAAAAATTGACATGTGAATACACCACAATCATACCCATTCTCTTGCTGCGGTGTATCCTGCGCAGTCAACGAATCAGTTAACCATTCTTTTTGCTGAGAAAGATACAAACATCTGGAGCCCAGTTGTTCCAACCTGTGAAATCGAAAGGCTTCTTCCTCTTGTTCATGTGTTCGGCATTGATATAAGACCGGAGGTGCTTTTGTACCCGAGTTAGTAATTGGCAGCCTATCCAAGATCAAAATTCTAACCGTAAAAACCTTTTCCTTTGCCATGCCCATACTATCATAAGACTCAACTCTTTTCTCCTTAAAGTTGATTGCTGCAGCTGTCCAATGTGCATTTTGATGGTTCACAGGGATCAAGATGATATCCTTGTTAAAAATATCGATCTAACTCATATTCGTTAACAAGGAGGACGAAAGAAACTCGAACACGGATACAGACCTTCTTCGTCCATTTTGCCAGTCTCCCTTTCTCATAACCCTCTTTGGTCAGTTTTGACCAGAAGAATGAACTGAAGTAATGAGCATCCAAGAACGCTGCTTTCTTTGTTGTCTTTCCATTTCTCTGAGAGCCCGGATTCTCCTTGCTTCCTTCCGAACGCGCTAAGACCATCGCACCATAAAAATTGATCACCTCGTCATTTAACCATTGACCCGGCAACAAACGAGCGATATCCTGATCGGAGACTTGCTCTCTGGCGAACTTGGAGATGACACCGTGTTGGAGAAGAATAACAGAGACATTCGCGTCGTCCGCCGGTGGAAGACTCGATGGCAATGGAGCGACAGGAGGCCGTATACGCCGTTCGATTTCGTCGTCTCTGGTCCGGTGTGATATACGTATTTGATCCAAATTAGGGATATATGGTTTCGGAGGTTTGGGACTATATATATGCTCAACGAGCGCAATGAACCATAAGAGAAAAATAATCACCTGTTTAGAGTGGCATTTGCACTGTCCAAAGCACGTCGGATTGGGTTCTCAGGCTAAGCGTTTCAGAAATAAGATAAGAGCAAAATTAACAGGTGAAAAGATACGTACTTCCTCAACTAAACGCCGGGCAGAATGTACCGGTGACTTAAGTTTAAGGTCTCCCTGCAAGAGTCTAGGAACTTCTTTTCCTCAAATGTCAGTCGAGCAAAAGTCATCCGTAGGTTGAACAAACGAACGCGGTGGGTATGACACTATGTCCAAGTTGATGTCTTGAAGTGTCTTCTCATAATCCTTGTAACCTAAATTGGATGGGCATCGAATGCGACAAATCTATCTAGCAGAACATACCAAGGAAATCAGCAAAACTAGACAAGTAATTACCTAACAATTCTCAATCAACGACAGAAACGAAGGACGATAGAATGGTTCGTACCAGTACGGCGTTTGAAATTATATTCCTTCTTCAATTCCTCTCGCAGTTGGATGCGCTCTCGTTGTACCTTGGCTTTATGCTGGAGACAATGAGAACAACATCGACCCCATTGATTACCCACCTACTCACCACTCTTTCGTGAATATGAGGTCGATTACGGTTATATTGCCCAGAAGTTCCCCTTCTCAATGCGACGGAAGATTTCCGAGACGATGTTATACGCGAATCGGGTGGAGGATGGGAATTCGATGATGTAGTAGAGAATCGGAATCTTTGCGATGAGCCTAATGGTGAAGATGAACCTAAATTAAGGCTCTTAATAGGGTCGGATTGATCGTCCTTGACGCTTGACCAGGAAGTTAGACTAGAATCGGGGGGTGGAAATGGGGAGTCTTTCAATAGACTGTGGGATGTTGTTCTAGAGGTCGATGAGGAGTTGGCGTCTTCAGATTTTATATGAGTACAGGGCTGTCGATAGCGGTATTCTGGTTCTCTGGTGTCCCGTTCTGAACTCAATTGCGCTCTTTTGGTTGGGGTGGAGGAATGTGGCGTGCGGTTTACGGTCCCTGTCGGTGTAACTCGGTTCGAGATTTGAATGTGTTCCAGAGTAATACTCTTGTCATTGAGCTGCGTTTGGCGAGTAAAACTTGTCTCCGGTGATGATTCAGAAAGATCTGATAGGTGTCCATTGACATCTATCGAAGTGGTACCGTTGGCCCTGGAAGCGGTAGGCTGCACGATGAGCTTTCCCTGTGTTGTGGCGTTACATGGTGGCACAACGGTCCGCGATGGTGTGGAATAATCTGAGTCTGTGGATCCGTTAGGTAGGGGGCTGACGGCTGGCGAAGAGATTTGTTGAGACGTGAAGTTTGAGGAATCTAGGGGATCTTGTTCTTGCGGATCGCTTGCTTCTCGTAGGGTCATTTCTGCAAGGGATGATAAGTTGATGAGATTTTTAGATGATGCGCAATGAACCACAGACTTGAGAATATAACGGTAAATGTGTCGACGGATAAAGTTACAAAATCCATTGTAAATCGATTCCACCGGCTCAGTAGACCTTCCTTTTCAGATGGACTTGGTGTGCCACCGCCGTATCCCTTCAAAGCTAAACGCGGTTGTTTATGACGACGGGTAGACATGGTATCGGAAGCTTGACGTTTGCGAGGATTCATGGAGCCTACGTCGACTGACGTGGTATACAGGGAGTGCTGACTAAGATCTGCGCTGGTTAGGGTGGACAGGAGCGCGACGCGTGGTATAGTATGGTCGATGAGCAACACCAATGGTAACGGTGAGAGAAAGTCACACCAGTAGTGCGTTACATTTGTGGTTACATAAAAGGGATTACAATCCAGGTCTGATGTCGCTTCCTTGGCTCAGTTGGCTAGAGCGCAGGTCTCATAGTCTGTCTATGATTGATTGAAGAATCAAATAATCCTGAGGTCGCAAGTTCGAGCCTTGCAGGGAGCATTACTTTTTATATACTTTTACATAATAAATAGCACATCAAACTAAGGTCCGTAGATCGAATCTTTTCTTTGCTTCATGGGTTTATCATTTCATCAGGCCAGCTAGCTACTAACATGTGGGATGCTCATGGTTGTTTTCCATGCTTTGAGCCATGCGAAGAATGTCAAGTAATTACCCTGAGAAAGATTTCCTCAGGTTCTAGTTACAAGTTCAAGTTTGACATTTATTTTCCACAGCTCTCTGTTTTTGTCCATCAGTGTTCCAGCCGGTAGGTTGGGAAGACTTCGGAGTTAGAAGGCATGGAAAAACACAGAGTGTTAATAAAGGCCCTTATTTGCGGATGGAGATACGGGTTACGGAGGCCTTGAGGAGGAGAGATGAAACGATAAGCATGGCTCAGCGCAGAGGGCCCTGTGACAAGTGGAGTAAGGGAATGTGACTCCAGCTGAGTCCGAAAGCCTATTATCCATCATCTCTCTCACACAAGTAGTAACATATAAAAGGTCTTTCTCTCTTACTCGCCTTTCACTTACTGTCTTTCTCCCCAATTACTCAGAAATATCCTCATAAATATGGGCATGAGCTACCGTCGTTATCTTTCCGGAGAGCGTATCTATGGATGTGCTACATGCAAGACTCATCTTGCCACTATCCATTCTATGATGTCTCGAGTAAGTTTTCTTTGATGTTCTCCACCATCCTTGTTGTGTCTCACCTCGCTATGGACAGGCTTTCAATGGTCAACATGGTCGAGCATATCTTTTCGATGGCGTGTAAGTCATTCACTGCCTCAAGGTCCGATCATCGAGCTTACTCAGGTCCATTCATCGCCAGTGTAAATGTTGTTGAAGGCGAACCTGATGATCGCCCAATGACAACAGGAAACCACACCGTCCGAGATATTTACTGCTGCAAATGCGGCACTACCCTCGGTTGGAAATACGTAAATAACATCCTCGATATACTCTACTTCCGATTCTCACAGAGCATGTAGGACAAGGCGTATGAGTCGTCTCAGAAGTACAAGGAAGGCAAATATATCCTTGAGCGTAATCTGCTCGTGGACGTGCAGTAGGTATCATACGCAACCACCCTACAGTCGCTCGCATTCTCAGCTGCGATCTTATACCTTCAACTTCTTCACGATAAGGCCACGAGCTCCTAGATCAGCTAGCCGTCATGATCCAGGATTTTTGGACTTTTGACATCAACATCAATGTACCATAGAAAGAGAGGGGGTTCACGCTCAGGAGAGGTTTTCCAACAACTGTACAACCACGTACCGACGGCCAGTTTTTCACTTCGTGCCCTGTTCGCTAATCTTGCCAGGACAACAATTTATAATCTCGGCACGGCATGCCAGGCAGAATTTGTTGGACCGTCGCGTTTCTCACATCGCCCTCCTTATCCACCTCTGGACCTCCTTATTTATATTGCATCTTCCACATGGGACAATTCCTCGTCCAAGAAGCGTACAGATTTGTCATTAAATCGACGCCTATTGCGGATTTCTTTGTCTTTTGATCATATCACCACCACCAACATCACGTCATTCCCAATCTCCCCCGCCATCTAATTACTCATGTACAAGTCATCATCTTGTCTTGAGTTTTCCCCTCTCCTCTTCTCTCCCCTTGTCTTGTACTATTGTGATTTAGATTTATACAATTCAAATCATTCCCTCAATGTGGCTGATGTGTATATAGAACTCAGATGCATAACTAAAATTACTCAAATGCTCGTGCTAGGCTACAAGTCAGTGGCAATATTTATAATAGTAATATGCTCTGAACGTTGTACAATGATCAGGTCTGGCGGAGATGCAACACTGCAAGAAAGGGAATACTCCAGCTTTCCGGATACCAAGCACTGGTCGCAGTCGCTGAGAACGTTCATCAGGGACGAAACCCGTACTAGTGAGTGATGACGATTACCATCACTGACCAGGGTTTTATTATCGGCTCACAAATCGTTTAAGGCTAGGGCTAGCAGCATCTCCTTATGTTTTATCGTCAACCCTTCAAACAGTTGGTAATTCTTGGTAAATCATTTTCATCCTTAACATATCGTTCAGGCAGAAGACAGGTAGGCCGCGGCGTTAATCTGAAATCATTTCATTTCTTGACAGAACTGCGGCGTTGAGTAAGATCGCGGGTTGGTCTACGCTTGGTGGGTTATTAGTGTAATTGATACCTCCATTCGCATTTTTATTGACGGAGATAACTTTCCAGGCGGAGCCGTTTCTTTCTCGTTGGGCGGATCCATCACTACTTGACTTAACAATGGTCTATCGTTACCAAAGACTGACTTGCGGACAGAAAAGGATAACGCCCACATAAAAAATTGACTCACAAAGATTTCTGGACCCCTGCAAGTATCCTCGTCGAGTCTCGACTTGCTGAATGGGAAAATCTTCCATTATCGGCGGTCGTTGCCGCGTAGATTGAATATTCAGCCTGAAGTTTCATCAAAGAATCTAGCCCTTTTCAGGTCACTAGGGATTTCAGCCATCCGGATGACATACCTTTTTATGTTTATAGCCTACCTCAGGCCTACCTATGATGTTCGTAGTACTACATCAGGAATGGAGGGAAGATATAATTAAGATTTTCAAAATAGACATGGTGAAAAACCTCAACTATACTCAGTAAGGGCAGTTCAATGTCAACTGCCTTCGAGGCAGTTGACCCAGAGTCATCTTGGAATTGCGACAATCGCACAGAAAATTCCGACGTCGAATCCCCGACGACGACCGAGTCGAATCGAATCCCGTGATCCAGCACATTACAGAGGTCACAACGTAACACAAACGTGACGCTAGTGCGCCACACTCATACTAATTAGTAGTAGTTTGTAATGGCAGCCACCGTCTCTAGCACAAGGATCAAGACGCTATGCGTTATATATTCTTAAGTTAACCTCATGCTTCTTCCTATTATGATAATATGGTGATGGTAAATAATGAGCTGCATCGCTTGATGTATGCTGCAGTATGCATGGATGCTGGTCCCTGGAGCAGCTTGGCAGGTCTGCCTGACTATACGAGAACTTGCACAGTGTGGGCCAGATTACACTTATATATTTCACCATGTTTACTATATTGTGCATTTAAAATTAACCGCAATCTGACGTCCGCCACAGTTGATTTGAACATCATCGGTAAATTTCTGTCACTGGAGGGTTAATATATTTGTTCCGAAAGTACACCTACCACGGATACTATAAGATTTTATATCCCTCCTTCACTGACGCTAGTACAGAGGCTTTAATCCAGGCCACATCCAGCTAACCAGGAGTTGTGGTTCATCATGATTCAGATTTTCGCTCGCATTGCAGAACAGTTGAAATCATCCATCAAAATATTATATACTCAGCTGACGTAGGGATGATCACCTTACGAATGCGTCGGGTACAACCTCCATTGTCTGTAATGCAGTATATTCTCACAATCCCATCTTTTGAGGTTTCAGTGTCCAGCCTCCGGATTTCAGCAGGAATTTCAAGTTTGACGGAGTTTTAGCATGGGAATTTGAAATTTACATTCACATCCCACATATACTATAGCCACGTTTCGCGATTTGGATCTAGTAGTTAGACTGAGCATTCTTGGCATGTACATTTCGGCGTGCTCGCTCTTGGAGCCACTGGCATTAGGTTCTGTTAGTGCGCTACTGGAACCATTCAGCACGCCTTCATGATTCTGACTCGGAAGGTACCATGATACATGAAAATATTATCGCACCTGGCATTGAGTCTATGCGCCATTCATGGATAGGAATTCTCATGCAATCGACGCCGTGGCCTCCTTTATCACTGAGGAAATCCAAAAAAAAACTTCAGTGTCCTCGGCCCTATACTGCTTACCCGAGTCATGGTTCAAGTCTTATCTCAGAAGGAATACAGGCTTGAGAACAAATTGAATAACGACCGCAGCTCTGAGAAGTGACTGGGTGCTCATTCTCTTGCCTTGATTGAATTTCCCAATATCTTCGTCAGAAACAGGTATCGGCGACGCTGTAAGACCGTATCAAGCATGAAACTCACATGAATTATTTAGACCTGGGTATACAGAGTAGAGCTAATTTCATGGCCCTGGCTACCATACGCGTGGCCATGCATTTATTGTGATGCTTGTGGGCGATGCGATGCGGAACGTCAGATACCAGTGGAGGAGACTTCATTGTCCGATGAGCCTTAGCGGTACGTTCACGATACTGAGCCTATTCCAGCTGCCGGCGTAGAACATGACTTGAAATTTCAGGTACCCAAAGGAATATCCACATCTTCAAGAGCTGTGGACAACTCATCCTCAACTCCTACACAGCCATCTAAATATGTATGTTCTGAATCCGTCTCAATTTCACTGGTTCTGACACAGGCATCAGATTCTGCCTGATCATCCCAATGCGGTGATCTGGCATCGACGTGTGCGGGCTGATGTGGGAGTCATCTCGTATATAGTAGTCATAGTCATTGGAAATTTGCCCTCACCAAACTGGAATGAGATAAGATTGGATTGGATATCTTAATACCTGGTACAAACGCACCCTCTTGGATTGGACTACTGCCCGCCGTATTCACGTACCGGCTGGACACATGACATTGGAGACGAAATCGATCATCCAAAGCAGCGTCAATGATGATCGATATCACTCATGCCATGACCCATGACATGGTGTGTCGTAACACATCCATCTAATGTATTCCGAGATTGCGATTAACAGGAATCATGGAATAGTTAAGATCGTGGATATAGAATCCAAAGGTCGATCAGAGATTCCAGAAGCTCGAGTTGAAGATAGACCACTAGGGGTTTGATAGAAGCCTTATATTCTTTGAGATATGGACCATTTTATCATCGATTACTGAGCGATAAGTTGGTGGGACAGAGAATTCGAAGTTAGCCGGTAGACTCGTCACCGGCTCTCTTTATAAGAGAGGAGCTCGATAAATGCAGACAAGTGTCGAAGTCGCAGGCCCAGTACCAAGTTACGTTGAAT